CGTCGGCCTGCGCTGGGGTAAACGCGTACCCACCACGCGGTGGTAGCCACTCGTCAACAGGACGTGGCTGCCGTCTTCTCGGTGAACAAAAGGAGTTCGTCACGTCACGCCGCTCCTGGCGTCCACGTGGCTGCTCGTTGCGGTTCCGCGACCGCGAGCGTCCTTCGTCTCGTGGCGTGTGGTCGCCGTCAGGCGAGTCTTCACGAGGCATCTCCGAGGTCTTGATGCTGTTAAAGCTGATAACAACTAAAGAATTCTTTGTTCGACCGCAAAGTTGCCTCCTTAGTAAGGCAAATCCAAGACTGTATTACTTCAGAGGGCTGAGGGGCCACGAGCCACGTGGCCACTGACTAGCATCCTAATAGTAATACTATACAACTAGGTCATCCACTGTGCTACTAGCACCACGGTACTAGACAGCTACCGTGGTTTGCAGTGGGTCAAACGATCGGGCGACCCAACTGCTCTGCAACGCAGAACACTAATCAAACGATCCTACTTCCAGCTCTGATTGCAACCTCGGCCATGCTCATGGGTAGCGCACTTGTTGTCCCCTAAGAGTATCTCCAGCGGTATGGTAAACCGTAGTGTATTTGGTGCAATTTTTAGGGGTTTTGCGGTACCTATTATACCATACTCGTCTTTTTCTGCACCGGGGTACCGCATCGATGGATGATGAGGATGAATGGTTCGAGAATGTGATGGACGACGGCGACGATATGATGGCGCTGAGCCACATCCTGTTCAACCCTATCCCATACATGTTCTCCAGCGATGAATCTAGCAGCAGTGATGATGATGATGAACGTATTCTTCGCGGCGGTTCTTCAGTCGGCCGATGCCGCAACAAACCACGCGACCATCGAATGGGTTTGGAGAGGCTGTACCGAGACTACTTCTCCTTCTCGCCGGTGTACGACAGTGCCGACTTCCGTAGTCGCATTCCGATGCGCATGGTGGTGTTCCAGCGTGTTCACGATGGCGTCCTCCGCGCGGATCCATACTTCACGCAGAGGGCAGACGCGTGCGGCGTACTGCGCCTGGACACTTACCAGAAGGTTACAACGGCGCTGAGGATGCTGGCCAACGGGTGCGCGGCCGATGCTCTCGATGAGAACATGACGATGGCGGAATCGACAACATTGGAATCTTTGAGTCGATTCTGCAGAGCTCTCAATGACACGTTTGGTGACATCTACTTGCGAGCGCCCACAGTCGAAGACCTTGAGCGAATCTGCACAACCAACGGGGTACTCCAAGCCCGCTATCAAATCATCGACAAGCCGTGCAAGTAGTGGCGACCAAGCAACGTGGAGGACATCATCACCGCTGCTGCTTACAAGGTCCCTTCTCAATGAGAAGGAGGAGGTGGCCGGCGACAAATCATCGCTTGTCTGACGTGAGGTCTTTCATGGAAATCGCGCCATGCATATATACGCCGCTCAAACATGATAAACATTCCAAATTTCGGATAATCTCTTTGTATCCATATCATGTGATATTGACTTGTGTTCAAACAACTTACTCGAGTGACACTGTATCAACTTCTATTTTTATATCATTGAACCATCGAACTCTCCAGATTGACATATATTTTTAGATTTTTCATATTCAGAAATTTGATCACAGTATTTGAAATATACAGTTGGGGTTGGTGTATTTCCGTCTGGAGTATGGGTCTGTATTATTGAAAAATGCTGGGATTGCCTGTAGAATGCCGTTTAATACCATTTTGTATAATACAGTATACCGCCACAAAATTTTCAAATGATTGGAAAGTCGTTTGTACTTGTGGTACTTGTTCGACGGGGAGTGGATCCCCTATAGTGGTCATCAAGCTGTCTCAATTATAGAAGATGGAACCCTCGTCCATCACCTCCTCGTCGAATAGTTCGTTGCCCATCACACCTTCAAGGCCGTCAGAAATGTGAACGTGGTCAAATTCTTCAATGAGAGCATCAGCGGCTGCATCTTCTTCCTCGTCGAGTGCTTCCTCTTCAACAGGCAGCCCTTCATCGTCGGCACCGAGCTGCTGCAGCCACGTGCAAAATTTCGTATTTCGTGTCGGCGTCAGTCGACGAACCAGCTGACCTGAATTGAACAGGATGGCGGTCCCAGACTCGATCTTGGAGTGACCCATTCGAGCGCGGTTCTTGGTATGAACGCGCCTGGTAGCCTTGTGATTGCGCTCGCCTCCACTTGCTCCGGTTGGGTTCTGATGCAACGCAGAGAGCGGCCCCGAAAGGGATCCGTAGCTCGATTCGTCACATACAGTCCACAGAACTGATGGTTTGATACTCGTGTCGGAGAAGTCGTCCTCGGTATCTTGCTGGCGAGTGACGAGCACGGCGAATTCAGACAACATCGATCGACGCAGGATCTCATTGCCCATCGATATAAGGGCAATCGCCGTTTTTGACTGCTGGTTTATTGAACCCTTCCCGAGGTGCAAGAACTTCTCGTCAAACCTGAACCCCATCAACCTGTGCATGCTGGTGAACAAAGGATCAGTACAGAATACGAGGGCATGGGCCTCCGAATAGATGGTCGAGAAGCGGTGGTGGATGAGCCTGATCATCTCGCAAATATCGTCGTCGTTCAGATGTAGGGCTTCCATCACGGAGAGATCGAGAGTCTTGATGTGATACTTGATCGCGAAGAAGCACGCATATACCGCCGAGAATGTTGCCTCGTCTCCCTCCAGATACGTCAGACAGCAGCTGATCGTCTTGAAGAGAGAATCCATCGCTGCGACACCTCTCCAGTATGCTGGATCAGTAAGCAGCATCTTAAGATCGTCGCTGATGTCAATGTCGAGATCGGCGTTGAGAATCTCGCCGGGCAGCGTCGCACACGCAGCCTTCACCTTCCTCACACGCTGCGCAGCGAAGAACACGGTGCCCTATCGAGTCTTTGTGTAGAGAATAAGGACGTACGTCTTCTTGAACTTCTCGAGACAGAACTTGTCGAATAGTTGCACGAATAAGTGGGAGGACTCCAATGTCTTCACCGTATAGATAATCTGTTTCAAGACGATTTTCACGCCTGGAAAGTTCTTGATGAGGTCCATGCACAGATTGTGGATGGCATGTGGCGCACAGCCGTACGCGAACACAAACTCCTTCGTGTTCAGGCAGTCCTTGCGTAACTTGACCATGACGCTAGGAGAATCGCTGCAGAAACAGAACATCGGCGGATTGATGAAGTGCTCGTTAGTCTTGCATGGACGTCCTTCTTCCCTCTCCACTTCAACATCTGTGTCATTCATTGGGTTTTTAACATCCTCTTCGTCCGTAGTTAGCACGAAACCAGGGGCCGGCTTTCGGATCGAACCCAGTAGGCGCAGCTTGCAGTTCAGAAACTTCTCCAGCAGATTGGCCGCGCTCTCCCGTCGCAGCTCTATCGTGAAGTGTTTAAGAAAGAACGGCTGAGGTCTGCACGCCATCATGTTGATGATTTGTTTCCCCTGTACGTTCGTGGCACCGTCCAGCGTGAAGCAGATGCGAGTATTCTTGGCGAGAGCGAGCAGAACGTCGTTCATTGTCAGCGCATATTCTGATCGCATCAAATCGCACCCGATTGCTTCCGTCGATGGAATCTTGAAGCTTCCGCGAAGCGCCTTGAAGAACGCAAGCCATGATTCATGCTCAAACGCGGCAAACGGCATCGATGTGCGATGAACATCACGAGCGATGAGCTCGTGTAGGTTCCTCATCTCTTCGCCAGAGATCGAGTCAAAGTACGGGCGACCGCTTCCACGGAAGGATGATGAATTCAATGGATCAACCAGATCATCCATAACACAGTCACCTTGAGATGAGCTCGCAGCTGTAGAAGTACCAGCAGTCTTCCCCGACTTCCGAGATGGCTGGAAGCCCGCATCGAGCTGACCAATTGCGCGCGGTCGTTTCTTGCATTTCGTCCAATGATCGCACATACGACCCGCTGCTGCAATAACCTCTCCTTCTCAGGCCAAGCACTTGCAGTACTTTGACTTAGTACTGCCCATGATGAACGGCTCGCCAAACATTTTCCATATCTCATCCTTCGGCCTCATCTTCGATTTGGAGGTCAGGCGGGTATGGGTCTGTATGTATACATTATACCCGCGGTATAATACCGCAATTAGAGGGGGGGCGTCGGAGCGGCGCGGACCTGCACTGCAGACCTTCGCACTTCCAATTATTATGCAGTTGACAGTGTTTAGTCCTCCTGGACGGTGCTATAATACAGTGGTATTATACCGCGGGTATTATACCGCAATTATACATTCAGTTAGTTAGTCTGGAGGTAGAATACAAATACAAAATCAGTCATACCTCGATTTTTGCAGCCCAACAATTTGAATATCCTTTGTAAATATACCAATATACCACTGTTTGGCAATAATTTCAGATGAAATTCAAGGACATACAAAATACACGTATCAAGAATCTGTATTTAAAAAGATTAGACCGTAATGATGTTGACAAGCTCACTCAATTCGTCCAGACGTCTTCTTCTTCAATTTGCCGGTCCAACTGCTCCAAGGTAGCCATGTCGTCGGATCTTGTAATTATTGTCACCATTCGCTTCGACGACGGCTTGCATGACGCGCTGCGAGTGCACGCCAAAGGTGGTTGCAACCGATGCAATGGCCGCACGCGACAGTTTCCCGTTTACACTAACCAGGAGTAGTTCTTGATACAGATTTCCCCCGCATTAGGAGACTGTTGCACGAAATTATTTTTCAGGGGTATTTTTCATGACAAGTACTTAGTTACGAGGTGGCGTGTTGATACCTGATTGGCCGTGAAGAAACATATGTTTTTGCATGCATTGTGCTCCAGAAGGCAGAACGCTCACCTCACACAACATATACATCTCATTACAATTTAGCCATCTTGCTCGTGAACTCATACACATCATTGTCTAATATTCCTGTGTGGCGCCAACAATTTGAGATTGTCCTCTGTGACACGGCTTGCCATCATGCCTCCTTGGCCCACTGCAGTGCATCGAGAAGACTGACTTCATGCAACTTCTTGGCATGAGACGAAAAGTTCTCCTTTTCTGCTTCGTCCAAAGTATCATTAGGCTTTAAGGCACCGTGTCATTGTTGTTGATAAGGCACGTGATTGCGACTGAATGCATGGTAGGCCCACATGCGTAGCTGCAACCCATTTAATTCTGGATTAGCAGTACGATGCTCGATCAATCTTCGCTTCTGCTCAATTGTTAGCCGCTGCCTCGACGACGGCGATGGCATATGACCAATGTTATGGTCAACATGTGTTCCATCAATATTGCTTTGAATTTCAAAATACCTCTCTGAATTTATATTCTTCTAAGCTCCAGGACTATGCATTTTTGAGGGATATTAAATTATGGTGGGTCTCCTAATGCGGGGGAAATCTGTATAGCGCACCTCTCTGGTCATCAGTCAGACTTGACTTGGATTTGTATGAGTTGTTTGCATCGACCTCACGTTGGCAGTTTTGCAAATAAAATGGATAAAAAATATGCTTGTATGGCTCGCAATGTGCTTCGATTAGCCACTCAATTTTAGGCCAATCCGAGCAGGACAAGATGACAAATTCGACTTGTCTGCAAAAATGCCAGAGTGGTATATTGGAATACAATTCCCAGCAATATTCAAAATGACGACGTATCTCGAAGTTTGATTTTTGAAATGACTCCCAATTATGTTTGCCCATATGCCTATATTCCAAGAAGCGGGAGAAACGGTAGACGACTCACGATTCTACTGAAGGAGATGTTCAGAGCCTACTGGAATAGAAACGTTGGAAAGTCCATGACAACGGTGCATTGTTGTGGCTGGGACAAAAGCAGTGTTGGCCCTCAGGTACAGCCCTCAGGTGGTGTATATCTCACCACCATTGTTCATATACTGAAAGAAGGCCGTGCTGCTCATAATTTTCAAATCACCGATGCAGTAAACCACAACGATACAACCTGTAATCTCTCATACACCCCGACTTAGATCGAAAGCTTTCCTTGGGTTCATGTTGCAAACAATGGCAATTTGTATCATCGGCGGCATATAATGAATGATCACGGCTCTCTAGATCATCCAATCCCGTGGCATCCACATATGCTTTCGCCCATCACAGGGCTGGTTGACAGTCAACGAAGGCAACGAGGGAACATTCACTCATATCTCAGGAACCCAATCAGCGTTTCATCTGAAATTTGGTGTTATTTCAGACCTCAGTGTGAACTAAATTTTGTTCATTGGATGTCAGACGACAAAATGAATAACCTTTGAGATACGTTGTGGCAAAACAGCTCAAGGCATCCAATTCCTATAATGACAAATAATAACCTCTATCAATTAATACAATTTATTTTGGAGAGACCATATTTTAATTCTATTAGCAACCGCTCTACAATAATACCTCAACCTTGCATGTCGTCGTCCATTCACGAATTTGGCATGTCAAGCATCAACGACGACGTGTACGATGACATTACGAACTACATTCGGCGTGAGCGTCCAAGAAGTCTAACTAAAGAAGAACGTCTTGATATACTCCGCCTGCACGCCGAACTTCGCCACGACAA